CTATCTATCTATCTATCTATCTATCTATCTATCTATCTATCTATCTACAGACATAATCTAAAAAAAAAACAATAGAAAGGTTATGTCTCTCACAGTGGACATGCACCTACAATGACAATTTCCATGATTTCTAAGTGGGAAAAGTTGCAAAAAGCAGGGTCTTCAAATATTTATTTTCCTGATTGTATCTATTTATCATTTTTTACTGAATTACTTTCCACTGTCTTAAGGATACTGGAATTTGAGTCACAGCCTGAAGGCAGTGGTGACAAGACCTGTGAGGTTGAACTTTGGGACTGTTCAGGAGACTTTAAGTAAGTCTAATGTCATACCCTCAATTATGACAGAACATTTTTTGTTTCTCATGCTTGACATGTCTCGTACTGTACAATTTACATGCCTAAATGGTATATTATTTTCTTGCAGATTTGAATCATGTTGGCCCGCGCTCTTGAATGACTGCAGCGGTGTAGTGATCATTTTTAACCCAGATGTTCCGAGTCACCTCAAGGAAATTGAGACGTGGCATTCTATGTTTATTTCCTCTCAAGGTTTGCAAGACAAACAGTGTCTGCTCATAGCTCACCACAAGCCTGGCAGTGAAGTAGAAGACGGACGACTACCTTTAGGTTAGCTTGCTGTGGGCCTAAGTTGCTGCTTGAGATCTTATTACTTTTCTGCTCTTACACATTCCCTCTTCTTATTGCAGCATCAACGCTTAGCAGACTGCCACTTATTCACTCCAACTTGGAGGAGGAGCCGGAGGACGTGAGGCATGCTTTCTGCAAATACTTGGGAAACGTTGTAAATGTAATGTCGGAGAGTCGAGAGCGAGAGGAGATGTCTATCATTACATAGAAGATAAATCTTTCAATTATGTTCTGTAGGTAATTGAAAATGTACCTTGTTTGTATCTGCATGTTGTAACAGCATCCTCTCCATCAATCAGCACTGCCGGGCATAGTTAATGAACTCACTTTGAATAACACTTCACCTCTGCTTGTTGTTTGTTCATTTTGTAAATAAAATTAATACAATTTTATTGTGTGAATAAAATGTGACTCAATTTAATATAAAAATGTATATGCAAGAGAATTGAAATTAGATTATCTTTCTTTATTTTCATATTAAGTATTTTTATCTTATTTAGAATGAGATGATCTGAAGTGGAGACAGAGAAAAACATCCAGGTGCATTACTTAAGTGACACATCCAATGATGCCTCCTTTTCCAATGCTCTCTCACATAGAACCACTTCAGCAGTTCAGTGCAGGTCCATTCCTTAAGGCATCCTACAACAAAAACAGTGACAATAGCTTTTACATAGTGAAGGAAATTAAAACGAGACGATAAAACGCAAGATGAATAAAATAAACACAAATAAATAACTGAAAACACAGATAACAACCACTGCTATAATTTCTTACCATTGTAATTAGCTTTAAACCTGAAAACAAGCTGTGTAGATACTTTCCATTTCGGCAGTACTCATATACTTGGATACACACAGCTATCTTTAAGAGTTCTGAAAAACTTTAATAAGCTCAGGTATTAGTTTCTCAGACATTTTGATCCAGTTTATCTGATTCTTGACAATATGCAGTAAAAAGACAAATTAGAGCCTAGATATTCGATTTTCATACAAATCACTAGGGGGTGCTCTTTAACATAAGATTCTGGAGGAAACTGTAGACTTCATTCGGGGATCCCTTAAAATGTATTTATGAATATCAGTTAAACTATTATGAAGCCCCTTTGAGAAAGTCCTTTTTTTCAGAAAGAAGTAAAAGTTTGATTGAGATTGGGTCATTCAATCGGACAATGATCCTAAAGACTTCAGCCGATCTAAAACATGATAAAGAAAGAGGATGACTGGTGAAATTAGATTATTATTGTTATTTCTGCTAAAGGTGCTTCTTAAAACTCCTCAATTTGCAATATAATTAGTTACTTCCTTACAATTTTATGCATCTTAACCTAGCTTCTGTTCAGTCTGACAAGAGGATACGTAATATGCTTTTTGATATTGATACTCTGTTGTAATGTCACATCATTTAAAAACCTTTTAAGGACCATGTGACTGAATTTCATCATGTCCTGGCATGCGATAAATTTCGACATCATTTGTGTTCTGTTTAACAAGACAAACAGAACACATATTGATAGTTTCAGTCTTCCATACGAAGGATTCAGAGCGACAGACTGGGACAGATGGAAAAATACACAGACAGGAAGACAAAAGCGGCAGGAGCTGAGACGGCGTTGACAGAATATCTCTTTTTGTTCAGGTTCTGAAATGGTCTGTTCATGCAGATGTGATTAAAACAAATGACATCACCACCACAGCCTTGGCAGTAGACACAAACGCACACAATGTTTGAGTGAGCAGCAATAAAGTCTCCGAATCAGTTTTAGCCCCAGGGGTATGGAGGCAGATATGAACTTCATTCACTTTTCAGTGGGGAAGTGTACTGCTTGCTGCCATCACTGAGGTGATGAAGTCATCTCATTAATCTCATGTGTAGGTATTTTGAATATAAGACGCCAAGCAAATTCTTTCACTGCTTAACTTTTTTCTCCTCTTTCCAATGACCACGTTTAGTCCATTCTATGCTATTCTTTACCTTTATTCTGTGTTGTTTCTGTGTAAGTTGGAAACATTGTTCATATCTTGTCTTGGGCTGCGTGTGTAGATAATCCATCCGAATTAGACTGCAGTTCAAAACTTGCATGAAATTCAATTTCACATCTGCTTTGATTAGCTTTTTCTTTTGTGTCTGCAAAGTTTTTCAGCAGGACTCTGTTGTCATGCATATAAAGCTGTGTAAAACAGAGAGAAAAGGTGCAGCACATTACAGCATATCATATCAGGAACGCCATAGCGCCATGCTTTAATGAGTATGGAGAAATTTCAAATGTGTCACCATCAGAAAAGGTGTCTTCTAGGAGAGTGAGATTAACTACTCCCTGATCGAAGTTAAACAAAAGCAGACTTTAATCTCTTACGCTTCTTTAATATTCCCTGTATTTAGAAAATTGATAAATACATTGTGATGTTAAGGAATTTCTTTTTGCATAATCTACAGAATCATGACATCACATGAAACTTGTCCTTAATTACCACAGATATATCTAATTTCAACAAGTTTTCATTACCAAGATTCAATCTTATTCAGTCGGCTGACTATCCCTCTGAAATGTAATTCCAAAAAGATGATGGTGTAATGTTACTGTGCCAGCAGGTTTCTTGGCTCTACCTTTTGAGAGACATCTCACACTGAAAAACAACAAGAGATCAAATGGTCAAATGCTTAACTCAAGGCTCCAAGCAGTCGTAACTTTTGCCTCTAAATGGAGATGGCGACGCCCACCTCATATTTTGTAAAGTCTACAGGCCCTTCATAGTTTTGTATTCCGGATGTTAATGTGAGATGTGTAATGATCAGAAAACGACTTATTACTCCAACAAAAAAATCGTTATTTAAAAAATAAGCATAATCTTTGTTCATTAAAAACTGGCCTGATCCTGTAGCCAGTTTATCCTTGTTCTATTTTTTAAAATAGAGTAACAGTAACATACCATGATGTCAGCTCCTACCTCTGTAAAATGTTTCAAATGAAAAGAAATCAAGAGAAACTGTACTCTGCCGTGCTGTGGTGGTTAGCACAATCGCCTCACAGCTAGAAGGTTCCTGGTTCAAATTCCGGCTGAGGGCTTTTTTTAGTGTGGAATTAGCTTTTTCTCCCTGTGTATGGGTGAATTCTCTCTGACTAAAAACATGTCAGGTTAACTGATGGCTCCAAATTGACCCGAGTGTGCTGTCTTGCTAATCTCTCTGTAGCAGTGTGATGGACTAGCAAACTGTCTAGAAAGTGCCACCCCTTTCACTGAATGACAGCTGGGATGGCCTGAGATGGGATGGCCATCCTTCCAATCCTTCCTCTTGCCAAGAAGGTAGCCAAACAGATCATGCTGAAGAGTTAAAAGTTCTAATTTAGTGATGTTAAGAAAATAAATCTCTGCTCTGCTCTTGTTTGCCTTGAGTTCAGAATACGTGTGTACGTTCATAATTTCGGATGCCCAAAGAGTTTAGAGAACACAACTAAGCTTTTTTCTCTTGATGATATGCATCATCATTTCCTGCGTTTACAGATATAATTCAGTAAGTTTTAGCCCCACTCAGAACCGCATCATATTAACAGCAGTGGTTCGGCCTGGTGCCATTCAAAGCAGAGCAATGAAAGATATATTTGATTTTCCAATGTTGGTAAGAAATATTAGTTTAATTTAAGCACTAAAGACGGACTGACGTTAGGTAAGCATTCAGACAAAAGAACTGCATCACCCAGATCAACAAAAAAGATCATACAAACACACACTGAATTCAAAGAGTGCATTCAGTCTCTCATATTGTTCACACTGGAACTAATTAAGGGGCCCTGAATAGCCTCAGACTGTATTTAGTTTATCGCATTACTCATCTGGGTTGACTCATGAAAGGATTTAAAAAATCCCAGAAATAGCTACGTTTAGGAAGTTTATCTTTTTCCTTCTGCATTAAGTTTTTACAGCTTCCAGACTGGACATAAAACGTAGTAGCATTTTAATCTACGGAAAAAGTCGGCCTCAGAATGACTTTATATCACCCAACAGCTATTCTACAATTCTTGTTCTTTTTATGGAGAGATTTTTACACATTTTTACAAAGATTTCTTTGCATGTAAAAAGATTTTTCTAGAGTCTACCGTTTACCTTCTCAACTAATGTCTCTGATTAGATTTTTCTTTTTCTCTTCTCTGCTTTTAGTGTTCAGAAAAATTGTAAAAAAAACAAAGATAATTAATTAAGTGATCGTTTATTTAGAAAAAATAGATGAATTAGTTAATCAATCAATTAAAGATAAAGTGCCACTTAAATAGAAAGATCCAGACAGCTGCAATGTGGCATAGCTTGTGGGCCTGTGTTGCATTGTTAAACACTTACAGTGAGTGTGCGTCTGCAGCACACTTTAGGCTGTCACATTACACATCTGCATAACTCTGTTTCACATCGAGATGTGCGCACTGCCACACGCATTGCGCACAGTGACAGTGATGCAGAGTGCTGTGCTCACTGCAGCATTTGTTTTAAATAAACCTGCCAGCAAGTAATTCTGTCCCCCCAAAAAGAAAAGAGAGATGTACTGATGAACTAGTATGATTTACAATGATCTGACACAGCAGGGTGCTCACATTTCAAATGAAGGGTTTTACTGGAAAACAGCTATCTGAGCAGTCCTGTAGCAACAAGCGACGCCTATGTCTACTGGCTGGTCTGGCATTTCTCAAAGATTGAGCAGCCACCTTGTTCTCTCCCAGTTTGGATCCTTCAGCAAAACACTAAGGGCAGACAGGATACTCCAGGATGGGGGCTTAAAAGAGACGGTAGCACTTAAATAAGCATTAATCTAAAGCATGAAACCCTACTGTAGTAAATAAATATATGTAGATATATGTATATATAAAATTGTGTGTGTGTGTGTGTGTGTGTGTGTGTGTGTGGACATTGTTACGGAGCTGGGTTTGGATAAAAAGCTGTCTAAAACAGGCCGCACACATTCATAACTGCTTTATTATCTTATTGAACAGATGTTGCACAGAACACACACACACAGTAACATGGATTCATGTGGCTTTGCCTGTGGTTTCTGTCACATACAGAAGATGATCCATTGTCACGAAAGCAGGCTTTGGTGTAGTGTTACATCTTCTGTGTGTGTACTGAAACACAAGATGTGGAGTTTCACTGGTGAGCGCCTCATGTTCTGAGAGAGACCAGCCTGCAGCATGCAGCTTGCAGTGAGCTTGTGGGAGGGAGTTCAGCGTACCTGTGAAAAGAAAAGCATTGTGGAGTGTGGAGAGTGGAGCTTGTGCAGATGTGTGTGTGTTTGCATTGAGGTGGAACTCTTTTGTGCTCATACAACAGACAAGTTGGAAAACAAAAACAGGTAAATGACTCATGGCTGAAGAATCCAGATGGAGAATTACTGACGATGGGGTGTTAAAAGTATTTTATCACCTCATCCTCTGGACCTGAAAACAGGAAAAA